TGGCCAGCAAGGGGACTATAAAAGGGAACCGCACCATTGTGTAATCTATTCTGTTGGTGTTGCAATAAAGAAGGACTGTTTGGAACTTGTTGCTTCGTCTCAATGCCTCTTTCCCGAAAACAGAACATTGGCGACGAAGGTGGGATGCCTGCAAGGAAAACGAAGTAAGAAGTCAAGCTGACTCACCACGGGAGGCTGGCAGCTCGGAGAAGTGCGGCGTCCGGAGATCACGACTCAGCCTGCCAGTACGGAAACGCTGGAAGTGAGCTCAGCGAGGGGAGCCCCTTCTCAAACCTTGCAGCAGGAGGCGTGGACAAAGTTCCTGGACTGCAACGATGGCGAAAATAGGCAGGCTGTCGGAATTTGACACAGCTATCCAGAACGCTGGAGCTCATACGTGGCCCGGGTGGAGAATTACCTCCGGGAGAATCAAATTCGCGAAGACGGCCTCAAAGCTGCTACGTTGCTGTGTGTTTGTGGGCAAGAGACCTTCGATATTGTGGAGAATCTGGTCGCCCCAGCAACACTGGAATCAATCGCCTACACAGACTTGAAGAGGATGCTTCGAGAGCATTTCAAACTCAAGCTCTCAGTGATTATCTGACGACACGCATTTGAGCAGAGGGACCAGAGGCCTGGTGAGTCTGCTGTAGAATTTGTTGCGGCCTTGCGACAAGCAGCTAGGCCCTGCAAACTCAAGGACTTGGAAGAGAGGCTGGGAGATCGGCTGGTCTGTGGCCTGAGAAGCCGGGATTTGCAGCAGAAGCTCTTCGTGAAGGAAGGCCTCACATTCCAAGATGCCTTGAGGGAAGTTGCCGCCGAAGAAGCAGCAGGCGGAGCTATGAAGGCCTTGCGACTCGCCAAGCCCCAAGTTCCAGCCACCATCCATCAAGAGGTCGCTCACGAGGAATCCGAACAGGATCCAGAATCGGAAGTGGACTGGCTGCATCAGGCTCCAGAGAGAAGGCCTCACGAAGGGAAGGCCCAGCCAGCATCATCCCCTCGGTGCGTCGGGTGCGGAGACCGCCATCGCCGCGCGGACTGCCACTTCTGCACCATCTTCAGAGCATATGGTAGGCAAGGCCATATTGCCTCTATCTGTTTGGGTCGCCAGAGGGAATGTTACCCAGAAGAATTGCCTCAGAAAGGTACCAGGGTCCCCAGAACAGGGTGGGTTTCTGCGCATCACGTAGGAGCATTTTTAGAACGGGGGTCCACAGGCCACTTAGGAAGAAGCTTCACATCGACATGAAGTTGCAAGGGGTCCCCTTGTTGATGGAGCTGGACACAGGGTCCGCTCTATCGATCATTTCCCTAGACACCTTTAACAAGATTTGCAGCAGAAGCGGCCTACGGGTTAAACTCAGGCCATGGAACCTCATCCTCACAGATTTCCAGAATTCCAGATTCAACGTGAGGGGGAAGGTCACGCTCAAGGTGCAGCATAGGAATTTTGAGGGGCTGCTAGATGTAGTTGCGGTTGGGGGAGACTGCACAAGCCTCATTGGACTCAACTGGTTTGAGGCCTTTGGGATTCAAACAATAGGCCTGGCTGGGGTCTGCAAGGAGTTTGCAGATGTGTTTAGTCCAGAACTTGGCTCGTACAAAGGCCCCCCGATTTCTCTGAGGCTAGATCCAGCCATAGCCCCCATTAGAATCAAGCCACGCAGGGTGCCCTTTGCCTTAAAGGGTAAAATAGATGCAGAGCTGGATAAGCTGATTCAGCAAGGTATTTTAGTGCCTGTGGACAGCAGTCCATGGGAAACCCCCATAGTTACGCCATTGAAGGCCAATGGTGAAGTCCGAATCTGTGCGGACTACAAGTACACACTTAACAAAGCACTGCAGCAACATTCGTACCTGGTACATGTGGTCATCCACATTCTGGCCTCCCTCAAGGGGGGCAGATCTTTGCTAAGCTTGACCTGGCTCAGGCCTATCAACAATTGCCAGTTGACGAGGCAACGGCTGAGGCCCAAACTATAGTAACTCACAGGGGGGCATTCAAGGTAAGAAGACTGCAATTTGGAGTAAATGTGGCCCCTGGCATCTTTCAGAGTGTAATGGAGCTAACGCTCCGAAATATTCCTGGCGTTTGCCCGTACTTTGACGATGTCCTCATCGCTGGGGATTCAGCTGACAATTTAGCCGAAAGGTTGAGAGCCATTTTGCTACGTTTCCGCCAAGTGGGGCTGAAGCTGAAGCAAGACAAGTGTAAGATCGGGGTTAACTCCAATTTCTAGGATTCCATATTGATGCTCAGGGCATCCACCCTGCTGAATCCAAGCTGCAAGCAATTCATCAGGCCCCAAGTCCCAAATCCAAAGGCGAACTTCAGGCCTTTCTGGGACTGTTAAATTTTTACCATTCATTCCTTCCCCACAAGGCTGCAGTGGCTGAGCCATTACACCGGCTCTTGGACAAACAGGCTCCTTGGCAGTGGACACAAGTACATGAAAAGAGTTTCAAAGAGGTCAAGGCCTTGCTCTCTTCAATGTGGTCCTAGCGCATTTCAATGAGCAATTGCCGGTGTGCATCGCCTGTGATGCGTCCCCTTATGGGATTGGGGCTGTGTTAAGTCACTTGAAGGCTGATGGGACACAAGTCCCAATAGCATACTACTACTCTAGGACCCTATCCTCAGCTGAATGCAATTATGCACAGATAGATAGGGAAGCCTTAGCCATAGTGGCTAGCATAAAGAAGTTCCATGACTTCGTATATGGCTGCCATTTCACGGTCTTTACAGACCATAAGCCACTGCTGGAGTTGTTCACAACGAACAAACAAACCTCACACATAATATCCCCAAGAATGCTGAGATGGTCTATCTTCCTGTCTGCATATGACCATACACTGGTTCACAAGCCAGGCAAAGACATGGGCCACGCAGATGGCCTCAGCAGGTTGCCATTACAGCAAGTAGAGGCAGATCCGGCACCTGCCAACCGCATCCTGTCTATTCAGGATTTGCCTGAATCTCCCCTCAATGCTAGGGATGTGGCTGCAGAAACAGCCACCAATCACACACTAACACGTGTGCTGACCTGGGTGTTGTCTGGATGGCCTGACACATGTCCAGGTTCAGAATTCCAGAGCTTCTGGCAGAGGAAGCACGAGCTTTCCACCTTCAAGGGGTATGTCCTATGGGGTAGCCGGGTAGTAATCCCAACCTCATTGAGGACTAGAGTCCTGCAGTCTCTGCATGAGGGACATCCGAGAATAGTCCGGATGAAGGCATTAGCGTGCAGCCATCTTTGGTGGCCTGGGCTCGACAAAGACATCGAGGCCCAGATCCACGGGCCTCCAGGAAGGGGGTTGCTCCAGGAAGAAGGTTTGCCATGAAGGTGGCTCCTGACTCTGGCACCTGCAGCACAGACACTGGGGCAATAGGCCATTGGGGTAGATCGGCTACTCAGGCCACTCCAGCTGCTGGTCTTGGGCTCAAGGGACAGCGCTCCCAAGAGGGGTCCATTGTGGACTCATGGAATTCCACCCCTCCACTGGACTTGGGGAATTCCACCCAAGGAACTCTGGCTTGGATTTAGCGGATCCAGCCAGTCAGCAGCTGGGTGGGTCACCTGGGTCTTGGGGGCAACAAAATCCTGGTCTGCCTAGCCTGGCAGGTGAGCTGGCAGGCCAGGCACACACACTAGCCATGAGAAGATCAGAGCGGACCAGAGGTCCTCCCAAATACTTACAGGACTATGTACGGTACTTGTCAGTTCTTGCGCAGGCCTAGTGGTCTGGGTAGGTAAATATAGCTCAAGAGGAGTGGGGAGTATGGCTGTAGTAAGATTGTAGCTTGTTGTGTATATATGCAATGTAAGTAATGTAATGGAGTGTTGGAGTATTTAAAATAATAAGTGTGCCTTATTATTTTATCCAAGGGGGAGGGGGCTGCAGGCGCAGGCTGCAGCAATTGGCCCGGGCAGACCACATGGATGCCCGGGACCAGAAAGGCTGTTCCCAGCCTTGCGCACATGCGCAAGGCGGGAAAATCCTTTGCAACGATTGGCCAGCAAGATACTGTGCAGGGGACTATAAAAGGGAACTGCACCATTGTGTTGGTGTTGCAATAAAGAAGGACTGTTTGGAACTCCTTGCTTCGTCTCAATGCCTCTTTCCCGAAAACAGAACATAGATGACGGTCTGAAAAATGAAATTTGAATCCCAGGGAGGACAAATACACAGAGAGTCTCAGAACAGACCCTTCCTAGTTTTCGGGAGAGTAAAAGATGGGCTATTTTCACATTTGCAAGATACTGTTAAACTAACCTTACATAAAGATAGGACGAGTACGCACTCAGTGATCTGCTCTCCGCCTGGATACCTCGTAGGTACGGCTAATAAGCAGCTGCGAAGCGCTACCCTTGCAGTTTAAGCAGGTGACAAAAAAGGATTTTTTTACATAATTTCCTCATTCACCATGAACCCGAGTGCCATGAGAGGAGGAAAAAGACGATTACGGGGGAGGGGGGGAGGTTTATTCCTCCAAGTCTCCCTATCCTCTCAGCTCTCCACGGAGCGCCGCGTTGGCTTTCACGGGGACGGTAGCACAGATGATCAACAGAAGAACTGTAGCCCCGAAGCCAGTGTTTCTCAACCTTGACAACTTGAAATTGTATAGACTTCAACTCCCAAGTTTCCTCACCCAGCCTCCCATGGATGGCTTGGGAATTCTGGGAGTTGAAGTCCGCCTATGTTCCAATTGTTAAGTTTTGGGGAACGCTGCCCGAGGCCATCGCCCCCAGAGACCGCAGATCCGGTGCACGTGTTCCTGGCTGCAGAGTTGTAAAGGTGACGAGGAGGAAGAGAAAGCAAGGGAGGGTCTGCGCCGCTGACAGAGGCGGCGGGACGCTGACCAGGAGTGACCCAAACGAGCGGTAGTGACGCCCTCTCAGCTGCGGCTGGGCCGTTCATCTACTTGCCTTTCCGCCGCCTCCGGTGGCGGCGTCGGCGGCAGCAGCAGCTGCTTTCGCCTTCCCTCCTGGGAGCCCAGCGCTGCCCGTGTGCGCCTCCCGCCCGCTTCTTCGCGCACAGTTGTCATGGAGGAGCCAAGATGGCGGCCCTGGCCTACAGCTTGGGCAAACGGGAGATCAATCACTACTTCAGCGTGAGGAGCGCCAAAGCGCTGGCGCTGGGCGCTGTTCTCCTGCTCACTGCCTGCTACGCCGTCTCCCGTCGGTATCAAGGTGAGTAAAGAGCAGGCAGACCGGAACGACCATGACAGCAGCCGGGAGAGTTCTAAGGAGAGGAAACCAATTCGGGGATACGGTCGCGAAAGGTAGGCGCGCAGTCCGCTTCGTCTCCTGGAGGAGTGTGTCACAGGCTTCTTCGGATCGGAAGGGATGGTCAGTTGGGAGCGGGACCTTTGAGCTGAGCCTGCTCGTCGTGTATATATTTTTTCTCACGGAACGTAGAAGACCATGTAACGAGGAGGCGGCTAGCATCTGCCCCAGCGAACACCCCTGCTCTGTCTAGCCTCTTTTCCATAAGTTGGGACGGAGACGCGATAATATCTCTATGCTTTGTTCCTTTCGCTTACAGACAAGTGCCTTTTCACCTGTTCAGATAAAGCAGACCCCAGTTAAGCCAAGTATTTCTTCATTTATTACCTGTGCAAGAGATGTAAAGGATTCAGAGTTGTAATCTAAAGAAATTCCCTGCCCTGAGGTCTAAGTCTAATTAGCGCTGCTCATTATAAACAATGGAAGGGATGCATTTTGACAGTCTTGAAGGAAGTGGCTTGATAAGCAAAGTAAATCCTGGAAGATAAGCATGCAATGATATATTTGAACATGAGTTTGAATCCCCTTCATCACTATTTAGGCTTGTCATTCCGAACAACTGGCAACTATGAGGCCAAAATAAGGACCAGAAAAATAGCAGAACCAGTGTAATGATCAGGGAGGCAGTATCTAGTTCAGCAATCATTGATTTGCTACATTGGTGTCCTGTATTCCTTTTCTATGGAGATAGATAGCAAAATGTGTAACATTTGTGTGTGGAATTTAAGTTATTCACATTTAAAATCAACACTTACCCCATTACATCATTCTTTGGTTAATATATAAAAGAACCATATAACCAAAGGCTATTTGAAGAATAGTCCTTAAATCAAAAGAGTAGGAATGTAAAGGAGCAACAGTGTCTTTGCTTCTCTGTGCATTCTGAATTCATTATAATAGGAATTACTTCATATTATGCATAGTATCAAATGGCTGCAGGGTTTGGTACATTGTGAAGATAAGCAAGTATTCAAGTAAAGCTCTGTGTACTTATGTGAGTTTAAAAATTCCAGAAAAAATTAATGTGCTTTCCCATTCAGCATCAAATGACTGGACCAACAGTTAATCCTTGCTTTATAATCATTTGTTTAGCAACCATTCAAAATTATGATGTTGCTGAATAAAATGGATTATAACCAGTCCCCCTGTTTATAATAGTCGCAGCATCCTTGTGGACACAGGATTGTGATTCAGGCATTGGCAACCTTTGTGCATTTAGTACAATTGCAGTGTTATGTGGCCATGTGATCACAATTTGCAACCTTCCCAGCCAGCTTCTGTCAAGCAGAGTAAATAGGAAAGGCAACAGGAAATTGCAAGCTGAGGTTATTTGATATCTCAATCATAACTGCTACTGCCATCATTAAGTGGGGTGATTACAGGATATAATTTGCTTAACAATTGCTTTGCTTATTGATGGAGCTGCCAGTCCCAAGCAAAGTTGGTAAATGAAGACTACTTTTACATTCCCTAAGAGGCACTTTGATTAAATTTCACCGGAGTTGCCACAAAATTCTTAGTATGTTGTTAGTTTTAATATGTTTTTAGCAGATTTCCATGACTAAAGTTCTAAAATTGGATAATGTTTTTAATTCAATCAACTTTTTTCATTTCAGAAAAATCAGGGAGCAAAAGACAGTTGTTGAGTGCTTTTTAACTGGCTATGTATGCCGACACATTGCATTTGACAGTATCTTAATGCTTTAAATGGATGCACAATAAAATAAATGTTATTATAGCAGTAATTGATTACAACACAACATCATGGATATTGTGTAATTAACCTTTAGAGTGGCATAGGTGCCTTATATCTTAATACAATCCAAAATATTTTCAACATAAGTTATAATTCCGGTTTCTCATTTCACATTCTATATTTGATAATAGCTGTATTGACATAGTAAACTTCCCCCTATTCATTTCTGAATAATAGCATTCTGAATGTGACCATGCATCTTTTTTTAATGTAAAAATCCATTGCTAGCAAAAGAGTAGGAGATTCAATTTTGATATTTTCTGAATACATAATGGAGCAGAACCAGCATCTGAATTTGATTCCTGCATATAGTATCTGCTATGAACATTGTCTCATCCAAGTCTTGTGGAAGAATAATTGTTCAGGATTGCTGATATGTGAAATAAGCAATTCATAGATTGTAGGAGACTCCTGAACCCCTTTGCCTATCCAAACCTCCTCTAACTTAATCATCAAATATTGGTTAGTAAAGTTGCAAAAAAAAATGCAGTTTTGAATAATTTTCAAATTGATACATGTGAAAAATGTAGTTTAAAGCCTAATGTCTGTAGCATTCTTTAAAAACAGAATAAGGGATTATATGATACCAAACCATTTACATGCCACAATATAATTCATTCTGCCTCAGTGATCTACCCATTATAACTTTGATTGCTCTCAGAATCATTAAGTGCATTTCTATTCACCAAAAGCTTGCTTACTCTTCTATAATAAATACTTTAGAAAGATTTTTGCTCTGTTTCTCTTTTGGATCTCTGCTTTAAAATATTGTATCTGGATAATCTAGCTTGGTTATCCCCTTTTTGCATCATTGGGTAGATAGGAAATGTCTGATGTAACTCCTAAAGTTCTGTGTTAGAACACATTAAGAAGTTCAATCTGTAGATCCTAAATAACATTAAAATTGCCAACTATTTTTTTTTTTTTTTCATAAAAATTTTATTATTTTCAACATAAAAAAGAAAGCAATCACAAGTACATCACAATTAATGAAAACCCCTCCCCACCCCCCACCCGGACTTCCCAAACCAAATCCCAGGATATTATTCATCTAAAAGTAACCTTATATTAATACCCCTAACTCCACAAAGTATAATTCTACATAAATAGGTG